GAACTGCAGATAGCAGTCAGCTGAAGTGGCCTGCAGTACTACACCCTAACCACTGCGCCACCTCGGCTCATTGGGAACCCACATTCAATTAACTGTGTTAGCAACATCAACTGCAGTGATTCACTTAACAACTGTGGCAAGAAAAGTTGTAAAGTAGGGCAAAACGTACTTAACAAATGTCTTACTTAACAACAGAACTTTTGGGCTCAATTGTGGTCGAGGACTACCTGTACAGAAAACTATTTTCATTTATTTTTAATGAAGGACACTGGTCCTTTTGGTTAAAAATAAAATCAGTTAAAATTTGCCGTTGCTGTATTTTCTGAGGATGTTGGCATGCTAACCATAATATTTCAAACGAAATTATTACTTAACTGTCAGTAACGGTTTATAGATACCTAGACGTGTAAATTTCAAAACTTGGCAATAATTAAATTCCATTCCTACACAAGACTGGCATTTGCATGCTGTTTATTGACTCTGGGGCAAACTAAGCTGTTGAGTGTTTAGAACTGGCTTGATGTATAGTAATATTTGTAGTTAAGGAGTCTGTTGAATCCTTGTGTAGGAATGGAAGCATGGAATAACTGACAGCCTTACTGTTTTAGAACGGACAGCTGAAGCATATTTTGATCGTTGAGTGCATTAATAAATATAAGAAACCTTGAATGAAGTAACAAGTTTCAAAGTTGAAAGGCGGCTGACGTTTGGGAAGTTAAATAAAACTGGGCTGATTACAGATGTACACAAGTTCTCACACATGTCTACTGTAGAGTTTTCTGGAATTTAATTATTAATATATTTACCAATTTCATTATTTTATTGATATTCACTGTTAAATTTTTGATTTGATCAGTATTGTCCAGTGCCTTAGTGATATTAGGCTATAATATTTGACCAAAGTATACACTTAATGTTAATGTTTAATGATTAATGTTCCACCACAAAACCGCGAAGCCCTTATCCGCGCCGACATAAGTGCGGAGGGCAAATCCGTGCCGTCCGAAGCGCTAAGGNTTATTAATATATTTACCAATTTCATTATTTTATTGATATTCACTGTTAAATTTTTGATTTGATCAGTATTGTCCAGTGCCTTAGTGATATTAGGCTATAATATTTGACCAAAGTATACACTTAATGTTAATGTTTAATGATTAATGTTCCACCACAAAACCGCGAAGCCCTTATCCGCGCCGACATAAGTGCGGAGGGCAAATCCGTGCCGTCCGAAGCGCTAAGGGAAAAGGTGACCCTACCGCGATGACATAACCGCGGAGGGCAAATCCGCGACTTCCGAAGCACTCAGCATCCTAAACCTAACCCTAAACCTAACCCTAAACCTAACCCTAACCTAACCCTAAACCAAACCCCTAAACCTAATCCTAACCCTTAACTTAATTTAAATTGGCTTTCTGCCGCCGCGCTGTTTTAAAGCGCCCTTCTGTCGCCGCGCTGTTGTCGCGGCGGTGATGACGTCGCGGTGATGACGTCGCGGTTTTAGCGACGCGGTTTTATCACCACTATTTTGACGAGCGCGGTTTTGTCGTGCCACGCAGGATTAAAAGTTATCCACATAATAATGTATCAAGAGTATGTTCAGAGAACCACAAGCTTCGGAACACTGAAAAGCATAGAGCTATGATCATAAAATTATTGATTCTGAGCAGATATAATTTGGTTCAGAAAAAATATCTAGTAGATTTCCTATGTACTCATGTAGGAGAATTATAGAGACATTTAGAATTATTAGCTGGCCCAATTTGCCAGGCTAACTAATATGCCAAGCAATTACATGTGAAGGTAGAGCAACAGATAAAAATATAGTACAGATATTCCTTGACTTACGACCACAAATTGAGCCCAACATTTCTGTTGCTAAATGAGACACTAAGAATTTTGCCCCATTTTACAATCATTCTTAGCACAGCTGTTAAGTGAATCACTGTACTTGTTAAATTAGTAACACGGTGTTGAGTGAATCTGGCTTCCCCATTAGCTTCGTCAGAAGATTGCAAAAGGTGAACACATGATCCCAGGACACTGCAACTGTCATAAATAGGCAGTTGTCAAGCATCTGGATTTTGATCACATGACCATGGGGATGCTGCAGTGTGAAAAACAGCCATAGGGCACTTTTTTGTAACTGCATGTTGTAACTTCAAACGAAATGAACCGTTGTAATTCAAGGACTACCTGTAGTCAAGGAATAGATTCAAACCAAGAACTGAAATAAGTTTGCCTTTAATTTTCATTTACTGAACATATGACCTTAAGCGTTCCCTTGCAATCCAGAATAGATGTATGTATTTATGCTGCTTTTATGTTTTAGGTAGATATTTTATTTTGATCTCTTTTTGCTAATGAATCTGTTTAGTTGTTACATGATAGGTAAAGCACCCAAACTGATAATATTACATAGCCTTATTAGAACCATATCTTTTGCCACTAGGAAGAAGGATTTTAATTTCTTTTCAACTATTTGGGCAAATCATTTTTTCTGTCTAATTGAATGAACGTATCATAAATATGTGCTATGGGCAGATCTGGCCCATTTCTGGTGGTTTACTTTGTGCATATTTGAATTATTGCTTTTATTCATATTGGCGGGGAAATTTGCGAATTGTAGGTTAAAATGTCACCAGCTTGATAAAAGGCTTGGATAAGGTCAACTTTTCATATCCAGCTTGACAGCATTCCACAACAAATAACTTGCATAAGATCGCCCTGTATCATTTTTTAATTACCGTATATACTCGAGTATAGGCCGACCCGAATATAAGCCGAGGC